ACCCTATAGCAAAAAAAAAAAAAAAAAATCTCTAAAAAAATAATAATTCACTATGATGGGAAACATTTCATTCTCAAAAAGAATTATTTTCTTCCTCTCCTTCTGTTATCAGTAGTTCTGAACATTAGATATTTTTTACCTTAGGTCAAAAGGTACCTAAGCATATGACTGTGAGTGTACAACAGGGGACAGAAATCAAGTATTGGCAGTTTTTTCATTTTCACTTGTGTGTGAACTTTCAGTATAAATGCAGGGATGTGAAGCATTAATGCAAGTCAAGTGTTTTGGTGAATGAGTTTCAGCAGTTGAACCTCATAACAATTATAAATAAACCTGATGAATTTTTCTGGACAATGCCAGCATTTGGATTTTTTAAAAAAAACAAGTAAATATTTCATTGAAAAAAAATAAAAGAGAGAGAAAGAACAGAAGGAAGGTAGAGTTCTACAGTAACATAGACAAAGCAGATTTCAGAACATACGGTATTACCAGAAATAAAAATCATCTCATACTGACCAAGGGGTCAGTTCTCCAGAAAAACATAACAATCCTAAATGTTTATACAGCTAACTACAGAATTTCAAATACACGAAGCAAAAACTGACAAGTCCATGATTACAGTCAGAGGTTTCAATAGTCCCCTCTCCGTTATTTATAGAAAAAGTAGACAGGAAATCAGTAAAGAAATGTAAGACAACCACACAATCAACCAAACTGAAATTGGCCTAATTGACATTTATATAATGGCCTACTCAATAGCAGCAGAACACACATTCTTGTCAAATGACACTGACACATCAATACAGACCACACTGTGCTGTTTAATGTGGAGCGCTTCATGGATTTGCACGTCACCCTCGCGCAGGGGCCATGCTAATCTGCTCTTGGGCCATTCCGGTTTTAGTGTGTGCACTGCCGAAGTGAGCGCCCATACTATATTTTAAAAAGTTTCACTCCTATAAAGTTTGTTTTCTAACCATAGTTAAATTAAACTAGAAATCAATAACGACATTTCTGGGGAGGAAAATAATCTACAAGTATTTGGAAACCAAATATTACTTTAAACAATCCATGTGTCAAATCAAAAGAGACGTAAGCAAGTGTCTTAAACTAGACGAAAATAAATCGCTCGACATATTATAATTTGAGAACCATCAAAGCAGTATGTTTAGCATTAATACCTTTGTTTTAAAAAGAAGAAAGTTCCCAAATCAGTTACCTTTTCTCCTTTTAATTTTTTTTGTTTTTTTGTTTGTTGTTTTTTGTTTGTTTGTTTGTTTTGCTATAGGGCATGCATGTGCACCGAAGAGAGACAGAGGGAGAGGGGTAGCGAGGAATCACCCTCAGGGCTATCAGTCACACACACAATTCCTTCGCCTTCACTCCCTACTAGGATTTTGGCCATGCACACACATGTGCTCAGTACGATTTTCAAACCACTGGGTCCAGGGCTTAAACCACAAAGTCAGCCCTATGGGATCCAGCCCCCTTAACCTCCACACCACCTGCTAGTCCCAATAGTACTGTTTTTTTGGTTTTGTATTTCTATTTCTGATTCTTCATTGCTGTTACATAGACACGTAGTTGGTGTGTGGGGCTGGCAGGCGGCGTGGTGGTTAAAAGTGCTGGATTCCCACATGGCCAACCAGTTTGAGTCCCAGACCTGGTGGCTTGCTTTCTCACTTTCCCTTTCTCTCTCTCTCTGTTTCTTTCTGGTCAAATTAAAAAATAATAACAAATAGAATTTTTAAAGTAAATAATTTTTTTTTTAATTTACTATAGAGCACATGCACTTGCCAGAGAGAGAGACAGAGACAAAGAGAGAAGGAAAGTGAGAAAGCATTGTGGATGGGGTGTTGGTCATGCCACAATGCCTTCCCCTTTTCTTCCCTCGGGATCTTGGGCATGCATGCACACATGCCCGGTGTTTTGTTTTTGTTTTTGTTTTGAGAGTGAGAGATTTTCGCTATAGGGCGCGTGCGCTCGCCAGACAGACAGAGAGAGACATAGAGACAGAAAGCGAGAAATCACCCCCCAGGGGGGATGGTCACGCCGCAGTCCCTTCTCCTCCATTCTCCTCTTGGGATCTTGGGCACACACGCACACGTGCCCGGCGTAAGTTGTAAGCCACTGGGTCCAGGATGCGAACTGCGGTCGACTACGTGGGAGTCCAGCGACATAGCCATTACGCTAACCGCTGGTTCCAGTAAATAATTATTTTTAAAAAAACATAGTTGGTTTGTTTTTCTTTTCTTTTTTTTTTTTGTTTTTTTTTTTTTTGGTATATTGATCTTCTATCTCTTAACCTTGCTAAACTCACCTATTATTTAAAAATTTTATTTAATTTTATTCATCATCATTACTCTTATTTTAATTTGACCAGAGAGAGACAGAGAGAGAAAGTGAGGAAGCAAGCTGCCAGGTCCAGGACTTGAACCACAGTCGGCCATATACTTAACCACCAGGCCACCTGCTGGCCCCAACTCACATATTATTTCTAATAGTTTTGTTGTCATTGTTGTTGGGGTTTTTTGGTTGATTACATTAGATTTTCTACATAGATTATCATGTTATCTCTGACAATTTAAAAAATAAAGACCCTAACTCAAATATTTTTTAAATTTTTGCCTGAGAACGTACATGGTTGTCAGAGAGAAACAGAAATAAAGATAAAAGGAGAGGGAGCAAGCACCCCACAGTGGGGCCTGGTCACTCTGCAGTCCCTTCTCCTCCACCTCTCCATCCTGCCAGAACTTGGGGCACACACTTTTTTTTTTTTTTTTTTTTTTTGCTATAGGGCACGTGCACTCACCAGAAACACAGAGAGAGACAGAAAGTGAGACATCACCCATTGGGGGGGATGGCCACGCCGCAATCCCTTCTCCATTTTCCTCTTGGGATCTTGGGCATGCACATACACACACCCAGCCACCGGGTCCAGGACTCAAACCAGAATTGACTACATGGGAGTCCAACGACATAGCCATTATGCTAACTGCTAGTCCCAACTTACCATGTTTTTCAAGCCACCAAGACCAGGATTTGAACCACAGTTGGCCAGGTAGGATCCAGCTCCCCCAACTACTAGGTCATGGGGCAGGCCCAAGAATGTAATCCATGTTTTTTTGCCCCCACTTTAATTATTTATTTTTTTAAAGAATTATTTAATTTTATTTATTCATTTATTTATTTTAATTTGACCAGAGAAACACAGAGAGAGAGGGAAAGTGAGAAAGCCATCAGGTCCAGGACTCAAACTGTGGCCAGCCATGCGGGAGTGTCCAGTGCCTTAGCCACCACGCCACCTGCAGTCTCCCTTTTTAATTATTTATTTATTTATGACAGTCAAATGAAGGATATTACCATACACATCATTTTCAATAGAGAATTTTACATTCTTGGGTGTTAAGCGTTTCCTCCCTTCGCCCTCCCACCCAGCCTCTCTCATCCCTCCTGCTCCCGCACAGTCTCTGTACCTACGCTTGTCCTCTCTAACATCACATCTTTGGAGCTTTCCATTTCTGCCATGGAGTTTAGACATCAGTATGTATCGAGCAGAGATATACAATATTTATCTTTCTAAATCTGGCTTATTTTGCTTAGCAGTTAAGTCTTCTATATTCAACCACTTTTTTTTAAAAAGAATTATTTTATTTAACTTTATTTATTTATTTTAATTTGACCAGGAAGGAACAGAGTGAGCGAGAGAGAGAGAGAGAATGAGAAAACAAGCTGCCAGGTCTGGGACTCGAACCGTTGTCGGCTATGTGGGAATCCAGCGACCTTAACCACCACACCACCTGCCGGCCCCTATTCAACCACTTTGAGTCAAATGACAATGTCTCATTGTTCCTTATGGCTGAACAGTATTCCATCGTGTGCATGTGCCGCAATTGTTCAACCCAGTCATCAGTTCTTGGGGACTTCAGTCAATTCCATGTCTTCACAAGTGCAAATAACGCTGCAGTAAACATGGAAGTACAAAGGAAAGCATTTGCCCCCCACAGACACATGCACATGCTCATTGATGTGACAGTCTTGAACTAGAGACTACCCCAAAGTCCATCCATAAAATGGATGAACAAACTGGCATAGCCTCGCAGTGAAATTCTACTCAGCAACAAAATGGAATCGACTACTGACACACACAACACAATGAAACTCTGAGTAATTATGCTGAATGAAGCCAGAAATAAAGAGCACATACCCTGATCTCATGAACATGAAATTCAAGAAAATGCAAACTGCTCTACAATCAATGAAAGTAGATAGTGATTGCTGGGGGAATTAGAGAGATTGTGGGGACAGGTGGGAGAGAAAGGGATCCCAGAGGGTCACAAGTGAACTTTTTGGTGGGTGGCAGACTGTGATGACACGGTCATGGTTATAGACACATGTGAAAATTGGCCAGGTCGAGACAGAGTGAGTGCAGTGTACTGTACATCAGTTACACCTTACTACACACACAGAACAACACAACACCACACATCCCAGGGCCACAGCCCAGAGCTGCTGATGCAATAGATCAGGGTGGGATCTGGATTCAGGCGATTTGCTCACCAGTCCAATTGGGGGCCCTGGGCCGGACGGAATGCAGACTCTCCCTTCAATGTGTGTTTCACCTGCGGATTTGCTCAAGTGCAGACTCTGATTATTGGTGTGGTGTGAGGCCCAAGATTCTGCATGGTAACAAGCGCCCAGATGGTCCCCCCGATGCTGGGCAGGAATGACACTTGGCAAAGAGCAAGTGCTCGGAAACTAGAATTTCATTATTTATGAAAGAGTCTGGGGGAACCAGCAGTTAGCGTAATGGCTATGTCACTGGACTCCCACATAGTCGACTGTGGTTCGAGTCCCAGACCTGGTGGCTTAAACTCACGCCGGGCACGTGTGCATGCGTGCCCAAGATCCTGAGAGGAGAATGGAGAAGGGATTGCGGCGTGGCCATCCTCCCTGGGGGGTGATTTCTCACTTTCTGTCTTTCTGTCTCTCTCTCTCTGTCTAGCGAGCGCACGCGCCCTATATAGCAAAAACCTCTCCAAAAAGAAAAAAAAAAAAAAAGAAAAAGTCGGGGGAAACACTGAAGTAAGCAAGGCAACCAATGAGGACAGACAGTGGAGAGGAGTGAGCACTGCTGGGTGTTTCGCTCTTCTGTCCGTGTCACTTTGTAGGAAGGGTATGTGATCACATATGACCTCATCTGTTTCTGGCCAGGCACCGTGTGAAGGTGGACCACAGTGACTAACAGATCCCTGCCAAGGTGCTATTGCAAAAATGGGCAGAGGATTTGAACAGGTTATTCCTGTCTTCCCTTCACTCAGGACTGCATCCAGATTGAAATGAAGCTGTGTGGGAAATGGGTGGAGATGGCAGAGCCAGGGCAAGTCCTGACCATCCGAAAAGCTTTACAAGGGCAAGAAGAAATGGGTGTGTGCAGCAACAAAAGAGAAGGTGGAAAAACAGGATCCGAAACAGGAGGGAGGAAGCAGGATGGGAAGCTGCGTCACTCAGCCTTATTTGGAAATAGGTTTGTAGCAGATGTGATTCATTAAGATGAAGTCGCCTTGGAGTAGGGAGGGTCCCTAAACCAACATGCCTGTGTCCTTTTAAGAAGAGGAGATGGGGGCCAGCAGGTGGCATAGGGGTTAAGGTGCTAGACTCCCACATGGCCAACCACAGTTTGAGTCCTGGACCTGGCAGCTTGAAACTCACACCAGGCATGTGTGTGGGGGGTGTGTGTCTGTATGTGTGCGTGTCTGTCAGTCTGTTCCCAAGATCTCAATTGGAGAATGGAGGAGAAGGGACTGCAGCATGGCCATTCCCTCTGGGGGATAATTTCTCACTTTCTCTCCCTCTCTGTCTCTCCGGGCGGCACACAGGCCCTATAGCAAAAACCTCTTTAAAAAAGAAGAGGAGACAGGGGCCAGCCCATAGCACAATGGTTAAGGTGGCTGGATCCCACATGGCCAACTGCATGGTTCAAGTCCCTGCCCAGAGGCCTAAGAAATACGCCAGGCACCCCCCAAATCCTGAGAGGAGAAATGGAGAAGAGGTCTCAGCCTGACCATCAGTGGGTGTGCTTTCTCACTTTCACTTTCTCCACCCCTTCCCCCAACACGCATCCTTGGCATAACTGGGGGTGGGGAGAGAAGAGGAGACAGAGAAACTCTAGAGAAGAATGCTCTGTGAAGATGAAGGCAGAGATTGAAGAGCTGCTGCTGCAAACCAAGAACACAGGATTGGAGCCGCTCCAGAAGCCTGGAAGAGACGGGGAAGGGTGCTTGCCCACAGCTTTCAGAGGGAGGACAGACGGCCCTGCTGACACCTTGGTTTGCCTTGTAGCTTCCAGAACTATGAGACAATACATTTCTGTCGTTTTAAACCAGTCGGTTTGCAGTTCTTAGACATGGCAGCCTTAGTAAATAAATACAACTACCCACAGTATAGGTATGTTTTCTTATTTATAGATTGCATATATATGTATCACTACACTAATGTCTTTAAGACACAAAAATAGGGACCAGCAGTTGGCGTAATGACTCTGTTGCTGGACTCCCACATGGTCTACCGTGGTTTGAGTCCCAGACCTGGTGGCTTAAACTCACGCTGGGCACATGTGCGTGCGTGCCTAAGATCCCCAGAGGAGAATGGAGGAGAAGGGATTGCGGCATGGCCATTCACCCTGGGGGGTGATTTCTCGCTTTCTGTCTCTCTGTCTCTCTCTGTCTTTCTGGCGAGCGCACCGCCCTTTAACTTTCCCAAAAAAAAAGAAAAAAAAAAAAAAAAAAAAAAAAAGATTAAAATCCACTCAAATGATTTACTGAGTTTTTTTGTTGTTGTTTTGTTTCTTTTTTTTTAGGTTTTAGTCATCAGGGACGTATGTTCAGTGAAGAGAGACAGAGAAAGGGAAAATGAGAAATCAACCCCCAGGGGTATGGCCATTCCACAGTCCCTTTTCTTCCATTCTCCCCTCAGGATTTTGGGCACACATACACATTCACTGGGCATGATTCTCAAGCCACCAGGTCTGGGACTTGAACCGCAGTTGGTCATGTGCGAGCCCAGCACCTTAACCACCACACTTCCTGCTGGCCTGAGAAATTTTAAAACAGGTTAGGAAACTGTTTCCCAGCTTTTAAAGTGTAATCTTAGAAGCAATATTACATCATTTTTTTTTTTGTAAAGATTTATTTTAATTTTATTCATTCATTCATTTTCTTTTTAACTTGACTAGAGAGAGAGAGGGAAAGTGAGAAAGCAAGCCACCAGGTCTAGGGCTTGAACCCTGGTCGGCCATGTGGGAATGTCCAGCGCCTAAACCACCATGCCACCTGCTGGGTCCCTATTACATCATTTTTAAGCAAAGAAAACACATAGTAAGGGAACAATGACCTGTTTTCAAAATGCCCTTTTCATTGCATGAGTATTTTGAGGGAAAGTTTTGCAAAAACAGACCTTTCTCACTCCTTGAAAGAAATTCCATCATGTCTTCCAAAGGATATATTTTGGTTTTATTTTTTCAGCAACAGCAATTAGGTAACATACCACTGAAAACCCTTTGTTATCACAGAAAATAGTCAGCAAATTAGACATCTTTTCGTACAAGAAAACCAGATAAATTAATCTAAGTCCACAATTCTTCTAAGTAATCACTGTGAAATAATCAGCAGATCTCTAGGAGGCGCAAAAGATTTTTGTGATAACTACCTAACTCAGGACATCCCTTAACCCTTATAAATATTGCCCTACTTATTTAACATGACAACACAGACTTTAATAAAATCCTACAACACGAAAACAAACAAGCCAATGAGGGCTTCGGTTTCTGTGTTTTGCAGAATGTCCATCCTATCCCCAGCCAACCTAAGGAATACATGAAGACCAAACAGGAGACACTATCAATCTGTTTACTACTTATTACTTTAGTTTGATTTCTTGTTCTTTTAAAAAATAATAAATAAGTGGATTGGTAAAGAGCATTTTTATAAAACCTACAGCTGGGACCAGCAGTTGGTGTAATGGTTGTGTCGCTGGACTCCCATGTAGTCGGCCGCAGGTCGAGTCCCAGACTTGGTGGCTTAAACTCACGCAGGGCCTGTGTGCATGCGTGCCCAAGATCCCGAGAGGAGAATGGAGGAGAAGGGATTGCGGTGTGTCCATCCCCCCTGGGGAGGTCATTTCTCGCTTTCTGTCTCTCTGTCCCTCTCTATCTCTCCAGCAAGTACATATGGCCTATAGCAAAAATCTCTCTTAAAAAAAGGAAAGAAAGACAAGCAATAGACACAAAGAATGTCAATCTAAACCTCACACTTTGTACAAAAATTAAATCAAGGGACTAGCAGGTAGTATGGTGGTTAAGGTGGCGGGATACTCCCACATGGCCAATCACGGTTCGAGTCCCAAGCCTGGTGGCTTGGATTCTCACCTTCCCTCTCTCTCTTTGTGTCTCTCTCTGGTCAAATTTAAATAAATGAATTAAATGAAATAATTAATTAAGTAAGTAAAATTAAATACATAATTCTTTTAAAAAAACTAAATCAAAATGGATTACATATTTCAATGTAAGGCATACAACTATCATTTTTAGAAGCTAATACAGAAGAAAATCTTCAGGACTAGAGCTCCGTAGGGAGTTTTTAGACAACTCCAAAAGCATGATTCATAAAAGGAAAAATCGATAAATTGGACTTCATCAAAAGTAAAAGTTGTACTCAGTGAAAGGCCCTGTTAAGAGAACGAAGACAAGCAACAGACTGGGAGAAAGCATTTCCAAACTACATATTTAATGAAGGACAAATATCTCAAATATAAAAAGACATTTCAAAATTCAACATCTAATTAGAAAGAGACAAAAATTATACATAGACATTTCACTGAAAAGGATAAACAGATGGCAAATGAGCACAAAGAAAAGATGCTTCACATCACTAGCCCCGAGGAGAATGTAAACTAAGATCGTGATAACCCACTCATGAGCACAAGTGAAATTTAAAAAGTGACAACACCCAATGCAGATGAAGATGTCCTCGAATGAGTACCTGGTTAAGCATGTGGTGGAACGTCTATACCGCAGAATACTGCTCAGCAATAAAAAAGAGTGAATTTTTTTTTAATCATCTTGGTGAGAGAACATTTCGGCTTTTATTATTTTTGTTTTTAGGTTTTGGCCATAGGGCATGTGCACTCACCAGATGGAGAGAGGGAAAGTGAGAAATCATCCCCCAGAGGGACGGCCATGCCACAGTCCCTTCTCCTCCATTCTCCTCTCAGGATTTTAGGCTGCATTCACACATGCCCAGTGTGATTTCCAAGCCACTGGGTCTGGGACTCGAACCGTGGTAGCCATGTGAGAGTCCAGCACTTTAACCACTATGCCAACTGATGGCCCCATGAATTATTTTTAATGTTTGGCATGTTCCCTAGCACATACATAAATCTTGACTTGCTTGAGAAGCCCAGCATAATTTTTTTTAAGAATTATTTAACATTATTTATTTTAATTTGACCAGAGAGGGACTAAGCAAAAGAGAGAGAGAGAAAGAAAGGGAAAGGGAAAAGCAAGCTTCCAGGTCTGGGATTCAAACCGTGGTTGACCATGTGAGAGTCCAGCATCCCTAAACACCACACCACCTGCTGACCCCCAGCATAAATGTTTATTACCTTTGTTTTCCATCCTATGAGCCCAGAGGAGTTGCTTCTGTTACCCGAAAACACTGACCTGCGATCACTCCTGCCATGTACACCAGCCCCACTCGGAGGCCTTTGTGGACCATTTCCAAGGGAATACCCAAAACGAGCTGCATTAAAAGATTCCCCACGATGTGCTGAACTCTGCAGAGACAAACACAGTTGTCAAATATTATGACTACACCAAGCAGTTGTTTCCTTGGGAGATGAACAAACTTTGATGTGGTGAAAGACTTGCTCAACTAGAATCCGTTTTCTTTTTTGTTTGTTTTTATCAGGCAACTCTTTATTCTTATTAATAAAATCTTGCATGGAGCTTCAATATGTAAAACATAAAAGGGCATTTTAGAAGTATACATTTATCTTAGGACCAGCTGGTGGCGTGCTGATTAGAGACACTGGATTCCTATATGGCTGAATGAGGTTCAAGTCTTAGACCTGGCACCTTGCTTTTTCACTTTCTCTCTCTCTGGTCAAATTAAAAACTAATAATAAAAACTAATAACAGGGGATCAGCAATTGGCGTAATGGCTATGTCACTGGACTCCCATGTAGTTGACTGGGGTTCGAGTCCTGGACCCAGTGGCTTAAACTCATGCCGGGCACACGTGCATGTGTGCCCAAGATCCTGAGAGGAGAATGGAGGAGAGGGGATTGCGGCGTGGTCATCCCCCCTGGGGGGTGATTTCTCGCTTTCTCTCTGTCTCTCTCTGCCTTTCTGGTGGGCACACGCACCCTATAGCAAAAACCTCTAAAAAAACCCCACTAATAATAGTAATAAATTAGTTTAAACAAAAGAATTATTTAAAAATAATGTTAAAAAATAAGTATACATTTATTTTATAAGTTCTGTTTTATAATAATCACTTACAACATTGGTGAGGCTCTTTTAATGAATAAAGATTTAAAGTTAGGGGGTTTGAGTAACATTTACCATTAAATTTCAGTAGGGTTTTTAAAAATATTTACTTATTTATTTAATTCCATTTGTTATTATAATTTTTTTAATGTGACCAGAGAGAGACAAAAAGAGAGAAAGTGAAAGCAAGAAAGCAAGCCACCAGGTCCGGGACTCAAACCGCAGTCAGCCATATGGGAATCCAGCGCCTTTAACCACACCACTTGCCGGGACCCCGGTAGGCCTTTTTATTCTTATTATTTGTCTATTTTTTTTAACTTGCTATAGGGCACGTGTACTCAGCAGAGACAGAAAGTGAGAAAGGAAGAAAGGAAGCTGCCATGTAGGAGTCCACCTTCGCATGCCACCTGCTGGCCCCTTCAGGAGATTTTTTTAAAAGAATTATTTATTTATTTTATTTTATTTGTTATCATTAATATTTTTTATTGACCAGAGAGAGAGACACAGAGAGAGAAAGGGAAAGTGAGAAAGTAAGCCACCAGGTTCGGGACTTAAACTGTGGTCGGCCACGTGGGAGTCCAGCACTTCAACCACCACACCATTGCTAGCCCCTTCAGTAGATTTTTAAACAGTCTGTCTTGCACTCTCAGGACATTCTTTAATAAAACAGAGATGGGGACCAGCAGCTGGCATAATGGCTATGTCACTGGACTCCCATGTAGTACACCACAGTTCGAGTCTCAGACCTGGAGACTTAAACTCACACCAGGCATGTGTGCATGTGTGCCCAAGATCCTGAGAGGAGGATGGAGGAGAAGGGATTGTGGCGTGGCCTCGCTTTCTGTCTCTGGCTCTCTCTTTCTGGAGAGCAGACATGCCCTATAGCAAAAACCTCTCCAAAAAAAAAAATTAAAATAACAGAAATGGAGACCAGATGACATAATGGTTACATCACTGGACTCCCACATAGTTGACCATGGTTCAAGTCCTGGACCCAATGGCTTAAACATCACACCGGGCACGTGTGTATACATGCTCCAGATCCCAGGAAGAAAATTGAGGAGAAGGGATTGCAGTGTGGCCATTCTCCCTAAGGCATGATTTTTCACTTTCTTTCTCTCTGCCTCTCTAGAGAGTTCATATGCCCTATAGCAAAAATCTCAAAAAAAAAAAAAGAATAAAACAGAGATGGCAGGACCAGCAGGTGGAATGGTTATGTCACTGGAATCTCACATAGTCAACCATGGTTTGAATCCTGTACACAGCAGCTTAAATTACACACTAGACACTTGTGCGTGCATGCCCAAAATCCCAAGAGAAGAACAGAGGAGAAAGGATTGTTTGTGTCTATCCCCCCAGGAGCTGATTTCTCACTTTCTGTCTCTCTATCTCTCCAGCAAGTGCACATGCCCTATAGAAAAAAATCTCTCTCAAAAAAAAAAAAGAGAGATGGCAAGAGAAACCTCACTCCCAATTCCACATTAAAACGTTTACCTAGTAACACTAGCTTAAGTGGGTCTCTCCTGTGTACTAACTTCGGCACACAACATATGTGAGTCTGAGTGTTTTTATAGTTTTTAAATAAGCAAAAATGCTTTTAAATGAAATTAGTATTATCTTGTTTGTCAAACCCCACAAGCATCTCTGTAGAATCTCTAAACTTAATTTGAAAAATTCCCACATTAGAGTAATTCTTAATTTAGTTGCCATGTAGCACAATGCTTTATTATATTTTTTGTTTTAGGAGTTTTCAGATTAAACCAAAAGGCTCAAAAACAAAGTAGGGGGGCCAGCAAGTGGCATGGTGGTTAAAGGCGCTGGACTCCCACATGGCCAACAACGGTTCAAGTCTCAGACCTGGTGGCTTGCTTCTCTCTCTGTCTCTCTCTGATCAAACTGGAAAATAATAATGACAACAAATAATAATAAAGTTAATAAAATAATTCTTGAAAAAAGAAAAAACGATGTAGGGCGTCAGCTGGTGTCATGGCAGTTGAGGCGGCCAATCCCATGTGGCCAACTGCACATTTAAGTCCCAGATCTGGCAGCCTAAACAACACATCAGGTGCATGTACATGCACACCCAAAATCCTGAAAAGAATTGAGGAGAAGGGGCTGCAGCATGGCCGTCCCCACCCTCCTCCCCCGGGTGCTTTCTCATCTTCCCTCTCTCATTTTCTCTCCCTCTGTCTCTGTCTCTCTCCGATGAGCACATGCAGCCCTTAATGATGTTGGGTCTTCCCCAGCGCACTAGCAGCCTTTGCACTGGACTTAGGTATATCATCCCCTTCACAAAGGGCCGGCACAGCCCGCAGTTTGCTTACCGTCATGGCCTCCGTGCACCCGGCCACAACTGTCACTGACCTGCCCATCTTCAAAGGCACGCGTGGGAAGCGGTATGTAATTCAGCACAGAATAGCCTAGCAAGGCATCTATTCTCGTTTTCTTTAGAGACATCAGACATGAAGGGGATGAGACATATCTGCTCCTGGGGCCAGCAGGTGGTGTGGTGAATGAGGTGCTAGACACCCCATGGCCAACTGCAGTTCAAGTCCTGGACCCGGTGGCTTGCTTTCTCACTTTCTATCTCTCTCTGATGAGCACACATACCCTATAGCAAATTTTTAAATAATATAATAATAAAATAATTGACTAATTAAAAAAAAAACTGAGCAAGCTTTATAAAAAGGAAAAATAAATATCTGCTCCTGAATTTAAACGAGAAGGTCAAGAAGGGCCATCCATCCCGTCCTCTGACAACACCTCGAGGACCAGGGGACGGTACTACAAAATCCCCAAGGAATCACCCATACACTTTTTCTGTTGCTCAACAGCATGACCAAATGTGCCAGAATGCGCAAAATTAAAATAGTCATGTTTTCCCTCCGCCCTTCAAGGTCCAAGCCAATCTACGTCATCCGTGACCCCACCCCACTCTGCCCTTTCCGTCCGTGCGGCGGGCACTAGTCCAACATCCTCTTCTCTTATCCCTGGCCTTCCCCCCTCCAAAAAAGCGGGAGCTAATGTACGGGCACTAGTCCAACACCCTCTTCTCTTTTCCCTGGTCTTCCCCCCTCCAAAAAAGCGGGAGCTAATGTTGGCTTTTCCTGTCTCTCTTAGCTAGAAGTCACCTTGTCACCTAGTCCTGGCCACTGAGATCCAAGTAGAGCACTGTTAGGAGAATTTCAAGGGAGCTTCAGTTGTGCGGCTGGCAGGTGGTGTGGTGTTTAAGTGCACTGGACTCCCACATGGCCGACCATGGTTTGCGTCCTGGACCTGACAGCTTGCTTTCTCACTTTTCCTATCTCTCTCTCTCTTCCATTCTGTTCCTTTCTGGTCAAATAAAAATTAAAAATAAATTAAGTTAAATAAAATCATTCTTAAAAAAAGAAGAGAGAACTTCAGTCTTGACAAAAGGGATAGATATATCAGTCTCTGCTGGCATCCCTTCCCATTCATTCATTCATTTAGGTTTTTGCCTCAGGGTGTGTGCTCACCAGAGACACACACAGAGACAGAGAGAGGGAAAGTGAGAAATCACCCCTCCTGGGCGGGGGGGCACACTGCAATCCCTTCTCTTCTATTCTCCTCCTGGGATTTTGGGCATGAAGACACATGTGCCTGGTATAATTTTCAAGCCTCTGGGTCCAAGATTTGAACCACAATCAGCCATGTAGGAATGCGGTGCCTTAACCACCACGCCACCTGCTAGTCCCTTCTTTTTGGTTTTAATGCAATTACAGAAGCCAGCTTATAGCCATCAGAGAAAGGCCAAGGCAAAGCTACCAGCACAGGCCCCAGAGCCCTGGCTTCATTCAACAGGTGGACCAGACACCTCCCTCTGGACTTCTTGTATGGGAAAAACATGGCCAGCAGGCAGCATGGTAGTTAAGCATTTCTAACTCCCCGAATATGTGAGATGTCCTACACCGCCTAGCAAGTTCTTTTCGAGAGCCTGATTATTAATATATGTGAGAATTACAGCTATTTTTCCATTTCATCACAGCCACCTTGTAAAACGAGGAAATGAGGCACGAAGAGGTAGAGTAACGATCGTGTGCTCTCATACATCCTGCTTTGCAGTACAGTAACCCACTGCTCCCTTTATAATATTTTTCTGGCAGGGTTGTGTTTTGCTTGCTTTTTTCCAACAGGGTGCGTGCACTTGTCAGAGAGAGAGAGAGAAGGAAAGTGAGAAGTCACCCTCAGGGGTTGGTTACACCACAATCCCTTCTCCTCCATTCGCCTCTCAGGATTTTGGGCACGCACACAATTCTCAGTATGTTTCTTTCTTTCTTTCTTTCTTTTTTTTTTTTTTTTGTTAGGCTGTTGTCATAGGGTGCGCGCCCTTGCCAGAAAGGCAGAGACAGAGAGACGGAAAGCGAAAAATCA